TCCAACATATTGCAACGAAAATTTGTTTATACAAATAATATTATAGAAATATGATAGGAGATGAACAAAATACCTGCAGAATTCGCAGTTGATGTTGTGCCTGGTCAAACTAAGTTGTGCCTGATCAAATAAGTCTTAAGTAGTTGATGTTGTGCCTGATCAAACTAAGTCTTAACACAGAATTCTGGCAAATCGCTTAATATATAGACTAATGATGTAGTTATAATTCTATAAGGATTTGTGAGTTAGAGTTCTATTAAGACTTACCTATTAGAATTAGACTAATGATGTAGTTATAATTCTATATTAGACTTTAATATTAAAATTAGACTAATGGTGAGTTATAATTTTATAAGGATTTGTGGGTTAGAATTTTATTAAGACTTTAATATTAGAATTCTATAAAGATTTAATTTGTGTGCTTTTCTTTGGAAGCAATGTTAACGGTGAATTAACGGAGAAGATAATATTTAATAGAAAAATTAACGGTGAACCATTCATTTGATTTAATAATTTGACGGACATTTTTTCTACCCATTATAGGCTAACTTTCTTTGACTAATGATGTAGTTATAATTCTATAAAGATTTGTGGGTTAGAGTTCTATTAAGACTTAAAGATTTGTGGGTTAGAGTTCTATTAAACTAATGAAATAAATCTTTCAATTATTCTTTACCACGAATATACTATAATTTTGACCAGCGCCCATGCTTGGAGGGGGGCAATCCACCCCATAATATATACGGAGTATTAAAGTAAGTAATATACATTTTCTTTGATTGAAGATAGCGTGGCATATTTGGTACGCCATATAATTGTTATATGAAAAAAAATTAAAAATTAAAAAATATTTTATTAATAATTTTGAACTATTTTAGCTTAGCTTTTTTTTTTTTTTTAAATACTAATGAAGCAAAAAAGTCAACAACACCTCAACTATTGCTCAATCTCATGACCTCCCACATGAAAGAGATCACTACATGCCATATGAGCACACAAGATGCTTGGCCTATTTTATCTTAGCTTATTAAGTATGTTTTATAAAATTTTATTAATAATTACTTTTTATTATTTATTAGGATAACAATGATATTTTTGTAAGCTTATTTGATTTTAAATTATTTATTGGTTTTTTAAAACTATAATTATTTAATTATTAAGATTGATTTAATTATTGATTATTTTATATTTACAAAAACACATAGAGTTTTTTTTTTAATAATTAATTATTCGTTATGTATGTAAAATTGTTAAAAACATGAATCTTGTTTCAAGTTATATGAGATTAGTAATTTTTTTTTTCTTTATGTAATTTAAACTTTAGACCGGACATAAAAGTATATGATAACTTCAGGTAGAACCTATTATTTTTTGCCAGCCCCGGACGTATATATATATACACTAGTTTTTTACACGCATTGCGCGATTAGGATAATGCTCAATATTTTTTTTTTAAAAATAAATACTTTAAACTATATCAAGTCAAGATTATATTGGAATTGTTCATGTATAGATAATTGAATGTTAAATTTGCGTATTTAAATAGGCAATTATAAGTTTACAAATGCGAGATAATATAGTCAAGATTGATTATAATTGTCAATAAAATAATTGTATAGGTATGGTTGAAACCAAATACGGGAAATAAGGGAGAGCAAATAAAAATTAGGGCATAAAATATTAAATATATACTAATATTAAAGAGCTAACTGTCGATTGCCAAACAAGGACATTGGGAGATAGTTTTTCACTTAAATTTGTTGTGTGATTTTTTTTTTTTTTTTGAAAGTAAATTTGTTGTGTGATTTGAATACTCTTTTTGTCAATAAATCCCCCAAGTAGTTAATATGATTGGCTTAATTATATTTTTATTTTTTTAAACTATATATATATATATATATATATATATATATATATATATATATATATATATATATATATATATATATATATATATATATATATATATGGAAGGGTTCAAGTGCGGGTATAGCTTCCCGTGCGGTTAAATATGAGCAGTTGATCAAATTTAGATCAACGGCTCAAATCAATGAAAATTTAAAAAAAAAAAAATAAAAACGCGTGCCTGGAACAAAGAAGTATAAGCTAAGGTGCACCTTAAGTGTTAGATTTTAATCACAAACTCACGCACTTTAAAACCAACACACATTAAGCACAACCTCACGCACATTAAGCACAAAACCCACGCACTTTAAATATTAACTCACAGACTTTAAGTTTCAACAACTACTGACATTAAGTACAAAACTCACGCACATTAAGTACAAAACGCTTGCACATTAAGCACAAACATCACGCACATTAAGCACAAAACTCACGAACTTTAAGTATTCACTCACATACTTTAAGTTTTAACAAATATTCACGTTAAGCACATCCCCACGCACATTAAGCACAAACCTCACGCACATTAAGCACAAATCACACGCACATTAAGCACAAAACTCACGCACATTAATCACAGATCCGCTCACCTTAATTTTGACCTAGATGCAAAAATTACAAAATTGCCACTGCGTTTTTTTTTTAAACTTTGATAATCCTGGACGTTGATTAAAGCGAGACGAATGGCTCAGATTAAACCGCACAACTGCACCTGAAGCCCTCACCCGCACGAGAACCTAAATCTATATATATATATATATATATATATATATATATATATATATATATATATATATTTAGGTTCTGGTGCGGTTAGGGTGCCCAGGTGCGGTTGTGCGGTTTAATCTAGACCATTCATCTCGCTTAAATCAAGTCCAGAAACGTCAAAATTTTAAAAAAAAAAATGCGGTGGCAATTTTGTAATTTTTGCATGTAGGTCAAAATTAAGGTGAGCGGATCTGTGATTAATGTGCGTGAGGTTGTGCTTAATTTGTGTGGGGTTTGTACTTAATGTGCGCGAGGTTGTGTTTAATGTGAATAGTTGTTGAAACTTAAAATCTGTGAGTTAATATATTAAAGTGCGTGGGGTTTGTGCTTAATGTGCGTGAGGTTGTGCTTAATGTGTGTGGAGTTTGTACTTAATGTGCGTGAGGTTGTGCTTAATGTCAATAGATGTTGAAACTTAAAATCTGTGAGTTAATATTTAAAGTGCGTGGGGTTTGTGCTTAATGTGCGTGAAGGCTGTGCTTAATGTGTGTGGGGTTTGTACTTAATGTGCGTGAGGTTGTGCAGACGCTATCATTTGTGTAGACGCTATCATTTGTGTAGACGCCATCATTTGTGTAGACGCTGTGTGTAGACGCTATCATTTGTGTAGACGCTGTGTGTAGATACTATCGTTTGTGTAGACACTGTGTAGGAGCTATCTTCTTCCCGACACGCGTTTTTTTTTTTATAATTTTTATTGATTTGAGCCGTTGATCTAAATTTGATCAACAGCTCAGATCTAACCGCACAACTGCACGGGAAGCTATACCCGCACCTGAACCCTTCCCTATATATATATATATATATATATATATATATATATATATATATATATATATATATATATATATATATATATATATATACCCTTATGTCATTTTACATGTTAATCTAAACAGCTAATTTTTTCGAATATGTTTTTACCAACCGTTGATATAATTCGCTGGTCAAATTCGCTAATATAATCCGCTAACGCTAACCGCTAACTGCTGATTGTCAAACAAGGACATTGCGGGGTAGTTCTCACTTCAATTTTTTGTGTGATTTGGATACTCTCTTTGTGAACAAATCCCTCAAGTAGTTAATATGATTGACTTTATTAATTATATTTTTTTAATTTTCTCATGGTATTAATAAAATACTTGGTAAATAAATATATAGCATTATTTTGTACTATAACTTTGATATTTAATTAAAAATAGTGCACAAAAAAGATAATAGACAATGTAGTGAATATAATCAATTGATGAATTTTAATGTAAAGAATTTTTACATTGGAGAAATATAAAGACAATATAACTAATAAATTATTTCTCTTAATTAATTTATTGATAATGAATAATTTTTTTTAATAAAGACATTGTAGGGACACTGTAGCGAATATAATCAATTGATGAATTTGAATGTAAAGAATTTTTATATTGGAGAAAAATAAATACAATATAACTAATGAAATTATTTCTCTTATTTAATTTATTGATAATTAATAATTTTTTTTTGAATATAGATATTGTAGACACATAATTCTAAATTAAAGAAATGCATATGTATTATTTTTTGTTGTAGCTACTAAATTATTACTCCGTATTTAATTTAATAATAAGAGTAAAATAGAGTACTAATTATGTCAACTTTGATTGTGATGATGTCCGAACCTAAGACCTTTTTTTTATTGAAATCAATAAGTTAACGGTGAACTACCTGAAATTAACGGAAAAGATAATATTTAACGAAAAAGTTAACGGATAATCATATTCATTAAGGATAAATTAGGAAATCTTAAGGAAAAATTAAAATTTGATCAATCTGAGTCATTCATTTGATTAAAAAATTTGACCGCCATTTTTTCTACCCATTATAAGCCTAACTCTCTTGTGCTCTTATTAGTATAGGAGAAAATTATTACTCTGTATTTTAATTTAATAGGAGTAAAATAGAGTACTAATTATGTCAATTGGTATGAGGTTCGAACCTAAAACCTTTCTTATTGAAATCAATGAATAATTTAACGGTAAACTCACCAAAATTAATGGAAAAGATAATATTTAAAGGAAAAGTTAACGGATAATTATATTCATTAAGGATAAATTAGATAATCTTAAGAAAAATTAAAATTTGAGTCATTCATTTGATTAAAAAATTTGACCCGTCATTTTTTCTACCCATTATAAGCCTAACTCTCTTGAACTCTTATTAGTATAGTAGATATAAGCCTAACTCTCTTGGACTCTTATTAGTAATAGTAAATATGATAGGATGGATGGGACATGATTTGACAAGCAATAGGTGTGCGTATAAGAGAAAAAATATACATCAAATGATTTCATTTATAGCTGCGCTAACACTACATTTAAAGATGGTGATGAGCATTCTTGCGAGATGTCGAATCGACAAAGCGGCCAGCTTGCCTGTTTGTGGAGCCACGAAGCAATGCAGTTATGGTGAAAGGTGTGAGAACATGGCAATGGCGTAATCTTAACTCCCGTCGAGAACTCTTCCAAACAAATCGAACACATTAATGATTCCTCATCTGCAGCAGTACCACTCTTGAAACTTTCTTGCTTCAACCCATTAATCTCATCCCAACTCAAACCTCTTGGCGCCTTCGACGACTCATCATCGTCATCCTCGTCGTCCTCGTCATCATTTTCAATGTATGTGACTACTCCATCCTCATTATAATCATCAAAATCAACCCGCACGCCCGTGTAATCTTGTCCTTGGTCGTCGTCGTCTGTTGGTTGGAGTTGTGGCTCCTTAATCTCCACAAAAGCCGTGACTATGTTTGCACCGCCATTTTCATTGGCAACTGCATACTCGAAGATTTGTTGGGAAAGCTGGGTGCATAAGGAGTCAGACAATCCCGGCACCCGCAGACGAATTTGGGCTCTCAAGTCATCAGACGACAACCTAGGAGAATTGAAACAAGCGTATACGTAGGAGTCGGAGTTTGTCTCGTAGGAATCAACAAGCTCGCCCCGCCGATTTCTCAAGAATATCAACCGTTTGTATTTCAAAAAAACTTCTACAATTAGCAGCGTTGTTGGATCGGGCAGCCCAAAACACAACGTCGACTCAAACGAAGATATGATCGAGGGTTGGTAGTGTACATATGTCGCCATTGATATGATACGATGCAACCAATAATGAATTGAAGGAGATTGTATATACTCCTGAAAGATACAAGCCTAGCTACTTAACTTTATTTATAGCCCTTAGCTTTTTTATATTTTGATTAGGATTAGGATTAGGAATAAGTTTTAAAATGCCGAGGAGGTTTGCTATTCCTAATCCTAATCCTAATCAAAATATAAAAAAGCTAAGGGCTATAAATAAAGTTAAGTAGCTAGGCTTGTATCTTTCAGTAGTATATACAATCTCCTTCAATTCATTATTGGTTCCATCGTATCATATCAATGGCGAGAGATGTACACTACCGACCCTCGATGAGAATTTCGTTTGAGTCGACGTTGTGTTTTGGGCTGGCCGATCCAACAACGGTGCTAATTGTAGAAGTTTTTTTGAAATACAAACGGAGGATATTCTTGACAAATCGGCGGGGCGAGTTTGTTGATTTCTACGAGACAATCTCCGACTCCCACGCGTGTTTCGATTCTCCTAGGTTGTCGAATTGTAACTTGAGAGACCAAATTCGTGTGTGGGTGCCGGGATTGTCTGAGTCCTTACGCACCCAGCTTTCCCAACGAATCTTGGAGTATGCGCAACAAGTTGCAGTTGCCAATGACAATGGCGCCGGCGGTGCAAATAAAGTCACGGCTTTTGTGGAGATTGAGGAGCCACAACTGCAACCAACAGACAACGACGACCAAGTACAAGGTTACACGGGTGTGCGGGCTGATTTTAGTGATGATGGAATAGTCTTATATTGCATTGATGATATAGCCAATGACGATGAGGGTGAGGGTGACTATAATCGTTGTGACTATGATGATGATGGCGATGACGATGACGAGGATGATGACGATGAGGGTGATGATGATGATGATGACGACAACGATGACGATGAGTCGTCGAAGCCGCCAAGGGGTTTGAGTTGTGAAGAGATTAACGGATTGAAACATGAAAGGTTCAAGAATGGTACTGATGAAGAGGAGGAATCATTGATGTGTTCGATTTGTTTGGAAGAGTTCTCGGTGGGAGTGAAGATTACGCCATTGCCATGCTCTCACACCTTTCACCATAACTGCATTGCTTCATGGCTCCAAAAACAGGGAAGCTGTCCGTTTTGCCGATTCGACGTCACGCAACAATAAATGCTCATGATCATCTTTATAAGTGTTAGCTAATAATGAAATCATTTTTTATTTAATGCTGCTGCCTACGGGCTCTAATAATGAAATCATTTGGTGTATCTTTTTTCTCTTGTACAACTATATGAGAAGACATTTCAAGTCAAGTAGGCTTGTAGTTCTGAGTATCATCTATCTGTATCTCCATTAGTTATCAAAATACATCAATCGATTGTGTTTCCGTGTGTAATTAAGTATGTTTTATATTTTGTTATAAATATTTTTTAATGCATTTTGAAATATTTTGCTTTCTCGCCTAATCAAAAAGATTTTTAACGTACTCGATCTATCCTTACTTGTAAGTTTTGTTGTATAAATATTATTGTTTGTAGGTTTATTTGATTTTAAATTGTTTATTTGTTTTTATTAATCGTGACGCACTAATTGACCCTTAATTTAAAACTATGATTGTTATTTTTATAAGAAAAAAATTATCCTGGCTAGACAATTTGCGTTTGTTTCTAAATTATCCTGGCTAGACATTTTCTTGTCACGGATCCCATGTCACAATTCTTCTCTCACCTGCAAATGGACCCGCAAACACTTTCCACCTCTGCACGCTGTCGCTCTCCCTCCCGCCTCCGCCGCTGTCTCAGCTTTCTCTTCGTCGTCGCACCCGCCTCCGCCGTTGTCTCAGCCTTCTCTACGCCGTCGCTCCCACCTCGTCCGACGTCTCAGCCTGCACCAAAGTTTCTGCCGTTGTTGCCTCTTCCCGACTCTATCGCAGTCTCCATCGCCATCCTACAGGTTAGTCCTCTAATCTTAAACCCTAATCTTGAATTTCCTAACTCTATTGAGCAGACCTGTGGCTACTTCCTAAGAGGGGCTTGAGGTAATTTCTTTTCTCTTCTCTCATTTTAGGGTTTAGGTACTTTTCTCTGGCATACATATATTTATGAGCTGAATGGAGTTTTATGTGTTACTCTTATTATGTCAGTTTACTGTGGATGAAGAGATAAGAAGACCGCCAATTTCAATCACTCATTTCAAAATGTAAGCGTTTTTCTTTATAGCTCAAGTCTAATTCATTAAATATTGAGGTTTATTTCAGCATACCAATTCTGGTTCAGTATATTGTTACTTTATAAATTAATATTTGTGTGTGAATTTCTATAAGTGAGGAGACTGCCTAGGATTCAGCATCCACCTACAAACACCGAAGAAGAATCTGTTTAATGATGGTCAGTAGGTTAAAATTGAAATTGATGAGTCTTTGAGTTGATGATTCAAATGAATTTTCTGAGCTTATTTCAGTTGTAATTTCTGATTAAATGGGGAGAAAACAGCCTAGGATTTGCTTGTTAGTCTTGTTACTTTCATTATCGTACTAATCCTCTAATGTTTCTGACCCACACAATCATGTAAAATTTAAATTATATTGCAGCTGCACTGAAATTTTCTGCAAATTATTATCCATCAAGATAGGTCATAATTTAAACATTTAATAATGATAATAAAACTTTTAAAAAGCAGAAATAAATAAGTAAATAAAAGAATGCATGTTTCCTGCCCTTTCTTAATGATTTTGTTTTTGAAATGGCTAAATTTGTAAGATGTGTAAATTGTGTATCTTTCTTTTTACATGTTCATATACTTGCTGACAGGTGTCTCATCATTCAAGCGCCTCCTTGCCGAATTACCCCCAAGAGTTCACTCAGTGTACTACAGGGATAACATAGGGAATATTTCATCCTCTCGTTTACGTACTGTCACGCCCCACTTCTAGGACATGACCCGGCCGTATCGTTACGTGAAGACTTGTAACAATACGCAGCCTAACCATACATACCTCTCGGAACCTTCATAATAACACTTGAATACATGATAATTCCATAGTTAAAATGGCAAAATATAATCAACTAGTTCTTCCCAAAAACTCATCAAATCCACTATTAAATATTTACAATCAAGAGTAGTATGTCCAAAATGCATCACAAGCACCGAAACCAAGCACAATGGTTTACAAAAAATACAAAGGGTCAAAGAGAATATCCAAATAAACAAAAGCCCGTGATAAGGTCCAATACTAGGACTAAGTCTCCTAGTTTCAAGAGTCAACTTCAAGAACCCACCACTTGTGCTCGTGCTATTCACATGTCCTTAACTACTCTGAAACATGAGGAAAAAAAAATACAAATAATGAGCTAATGCCCAGTAAGTGGTATTCCTCTCAACCCCGGATCAAGTAAACCCAAAATATTACAAAAAACTTTAGAGTAATAACTCGATGCAAAACTCGATCTTTAAACTATATCGAAGTCATAATACTTTCTTCATACTATACACAAGTTCACAAAAAAAGAAACTTTAGCTACACGGGCATCAACAATATTTCATAATACAATACTTTCAAATGCACAAACCATTCCTTAACATATGACTCATTGGCAACCTACAACCACCATTATCGGCATAATGGTCCAAAAAGACTCGACGATTCGGAATGAGTCGGGCTCGACGATTCAGAATGAGCCGGATGGAACGTTCCAACAAATAATTCAAAAGACTCGACGATTCGGAATGAGTCAAGCTCGACGATTCGGAATGAGCAATTAGGAACGTTCCAAGCCAAACAAAACAAATAACAAAATGTAGGTTGCCTCATGAGTTTGATCAAACAATCAAAATAGTTCTTATAATCAAATAGCCCGATGTAGCAAAAATCATTTCCTTAAGATGACATAACAAAGTTCATATTTCCAAAATAGATAATAAGCTTATCAAACTAAGAAATATGCAAGGTATAAACCATTCTCAAAATAATAATTTTCTTAGTACATAACTCTTTAAAAATCGGGGAATGGTTTATTAAACCAAAATAGTTTCAAAAGAGTTGAAGTAACTTAATTGTAAGGAACTTAAATGATTAAACATGAAGTTAAGGGTTCAAGTATTACTCTAAACATAACAAAAATTATTTTACAAGTGTAATATGTACATTTATATATAAAATAAATGTACAGATTACTAGCAAGAGGAATTGAACCCACAACCACTTGCTTACACAACAACACTCCTACCAAGCCACCATGTCTACACATTATTACAATTGCAGTCCAACATTTGACTTAACATTTCATTGCGAAACACAGTTCTAACGGACCCAAAATGAAACAATTCCAGTCCATACTCTAAAATATATAGCAATTTCAGTCCAAACTTCAGAAATCATAGCTTAGCATTTTCAGACTCAATAACATATCATAGTCCAAAATATTTTTAACTCATACTAATCCTAAAATAGGTATTCAAAGTAGTAGAGATTTCAAAATAGGTTATATATATGGGTTTTGCAAAATAAGGAGAGAAGAGTTAACCACTTACCTAAAAACATCCAAATCTTAGCTATTAAACTCGCCCAAATACTCCTTGTCAAAATCCCTAATATTTTCAAACATTAATCTTAGGGGTCAAATGATAAACCCAACTCAAAAAGAGTGAAAAAAATGGAGATCAAACTCACCTAGAATACTCCCAATAACTTGAGACCTGAGACCTAAACTTGAAGAAGATGGAGATCAAAGCTTCAAGATTTTTCCTTCCCCTCTCTCTAGTCAATTCTCCTTATCTTCTTTTAAAAGAGATCTTTCTCCAAGACCAAGAGATTCCTTAATCTTTAAGGGTAGAGAAGGGTAATTTAGTAATTTTATCTAATATCAAATTTTAATAAGCTTTGACTTGTTGACCTCATTTACTAAACATATATATATTTTATTTATAAGGTTGTGGGTATTACACGTACAGCTGCGAAGAAGGTATCTCCCATGTTGCTCTCCATCTCTAGCCCTTATTATTCTTATGGTAAAATAAAACTGAGTATTTTTTGGCGAATGCTCGTCATGCATTTGTTATTTTTACAATTTGCCTGTTATTTTCATCTTCTCTAGATTCTCTTTTAGATGGTTAACATAGTAGTAAACCATCTAAATACGGTTGGAGCTGTTCAAGTAATGAGATGCCATGCACTAAAATCATGAGCATAGGATAAGTTTAACCATGTCATTGTAATTTATTTAACACCCAGAAATCATCTATACTTATCATTTTAAAACACTTTCTTGGTCCTTTTTAAAGGGGCGATTAGGAAAAGAGAAAATTCATGAGAAAAAATATCCCTCTAATTTACAATCTCCATTTCCTTTTGCAGTCCGAGCTCTTAATTGAGCCACGATACCCGTTATTTGGAGGCTGGAAAGCCACCTATGTCATTGGATATGGGGTTCCATTGAATGATTTTCTTTATGAATCCACTAATGGTGATTGCTACCTAAATTATAGTTTTGGGTGCCCTCTTGCTGAGACTGTTGTTGACAAGCTGACCATCAAGGTGGGTTGTCTGATAATCTAATCTGCTTAAATATGCAGTGTTGACTTTTTGTTCCAGTTTTTCATAGTCTTCTGCAGATGTACAGATAATATGATGCAGTGCATGTGTATCTCAGGTGGTCCTGCCGGAGGGTCCAAGAACCCATTGTGGTTCCTTTTCCTTTTGAATAGAGATTAGAGGTAGCTGTATTGAACTGATTTCCGTGTGTTTGTTTTCTTGCTAACAGGGGTCAATTTGACCACTGTTGAAGCAGGTTTCTCAGGATAACATGTTATTTGTCCTTTTTAGTGATTCTTTTTGTTTCAAGTGTGATGTGTTACTGATCTAAAACTAGTGATGAGGAGACTAGATAATAACCAAACCTGTGAAATGGCCTTCACCTCGTGCTTACAGTAGATCGGCTGAATGATTTTATTTTATAGCCTTAAATCATTCAACTACTAGCGTTAAAAGAATGTCATTTGAGTTTGAGGTAAAAATATGGTTACTACTTAGTTTAACAAAGGATTGCATATCGGTTTTCCCTTTCCTTTTCCCCCCATCTCTCCATGTAGTAATTATCGGCAATTGCCTTGTAGATTCATTCACATTATACTCTTTAACTGAATTGCTCTTATTTGGATCTTTGCAGAAAAAGTACTCATACCTTGATGTTGTAGGAAGGACAGTGATGGTCCTGGAAAAGAAAAATGTAGTTCCTGAGCACAACCATCCTTTCCAAGTGATCTTCAATGTTTCTTCTTTTGTCATAGTACTTAAGAGGAGCCTATATTATATGAATTTTGTCAATTTGGTTCCTTTTACTTCATAAATTGATAAAATTAATGATAAAGACTCACTCTGTTAGTCGGAGCCATCAACATTCCCTTCACCGTATGTGTCTATTTTTAAACTTCTAAAGAAACTCATTGGCAATTCCTGCAGGTTTACTACCAGTTCAATCCAATTTTCATGCTTGCCGAGCCACTGATGTTGAGTGGTGATGTGAGATGTGAGATCGACTGGCTCTTCATCACCAGATTCAATATCATCACACTTTGGTGGAATGAGTTATCCCTCATTGTTCAGTTCCAAGCCAACTACCTATGGGTCTTCTCGAACAAAGGTCTGTTTAATATCAGCGGAACATATTGTTCTTAGGTTTATTTAATATGGTCTTGGTTCTTAGATTTAGTGCAAATAGTTGAGAATTCTCTATGGGCTGACTAGGTATAATTATTGTTTATAAGAATTTGAATTTCAATGTTGCATAGTCTTTTTATGTTAGTATTTCCCTTTGTTGTTCTTTAAAAGTAGCTACACCCATATTTTTTTGATAGTTGATTTAGAACATCCTCACATGTCAGAAAACATCATTATATTAAACCACTGTTGCACAAAACCAAACCACATTAAGTTGTGTATTGAAATGATGATATGAAAACCATATTTAGCAAAAAGAAAATGTATTTACCTCTGGATACTTCTCTTACCACATTGATCCTAGAACATCCAAACTTTCATTTGAAATTTTTAGAAGCACGCAAATTAAAATATAGCAACAACAATACAGTGGGTAGCAAAAATAAGAATACATTGATTTCCATCCATTATTTGAGTAACTGGTGGTAACCAGAATAAAAGCTAAAATAAGGTATTGCAAACTATACTGAGGAACTTTCACTCTTATCTCAGTATAAGAGATGGCAGTACAAGAGTTCCAGATTCAATCAGTTGTGATATATTTCAAAATTTTGATTAGCAAGCACTAAATTGATTCACAGAAAAACAAAAAAAGAAAAAAAAGATAGATCTATCAAATGATTTCATTACTAGCTAACACTCTTAAAGATGCTGATGAGCATTCTTGCGTGATGTCAAATCGGCAAAACGGGCAGCTTCCCTGTTTCTGGAGCCATGAAGCAATGCAATTATGGTGAAAAGTGTGAGAACATGACAATAGTGTAATATTGACTCCCGCGAAGAACTCTTCCAAACAAATCGAACATTCCTCCTTTATAGTACCATTCTTGAACCTTTCTTGCTTCAACCCGTTAATCTCTTCCAAACTCAAACCCCTTGGTGGCTTCGACGACTCATCATCCTCGTCGTCCTCGTCATCATCGTCATCATTACCAAAGTATAAGACTACTCCATCATCATCATGAAAATTAGCCCGCACGCCCGTGTAATTTGGTACTTGGTAGTCTAGCGTTGAGTGCAGTTCTGGCTCATTAATCTCCACAAAAGCCCTGACTTTGTATGTACCGCCGCCATAGTCGTCATTGAAGCGGTGCCCAAATGCAACTTGTTTCGCGTACACTACGAAGATTCGTCCGGCAAGCTTGGCGCATAAGGAGGGAGACAATCCCGGCAGCCATTGACGAATTTGGTCTCTCAAGTCACGATACGAAAACCTAGGAAAAACGAAACAAGCGTAGGGGTCGGAGCTTGTCTTGTACAAATCAACAAACTCGTCCCGCAGATTTCTCAAGAATATCCACCGTTTGTATTTCAAAAAAACTTCAACAATTAGCTCCGTTGTTGGATCGGGCAGCCCAAAACACAACGTCGACTCAAACGAAATTCTCATCGAGGATCGGTAGTGTGCATGTGTCGCCATTGATATGATACGATGAATTGAAGGAGAAGAATGAATTGACGGAGAAGGAGATCGATTGTACCGCACTGCACTATCGATCGATGTATTTTGATAAGAGATTGAGACGCAGATAGATGATTGATACTGAGAACTACAAGCCTACTTCACTTTATTTATAGCCCTTATTTTGATTAGGATTAGGAAACTTTCTTTTTAAAAAAAAAAAAAAAAAAAAAACGGAATAGGACCGTTGAAAATTTAAAACTTAATGGATATGATACTTGTTGTCCAAGTTTTATTGGACAGACTTCTATATCATCTCATTAAAGAGGAATTGGTTATCCCTTTAATAAATTTTTCCTTACAATCTAGAAAATAAAGCTAAGTAATTTATATGAAATATACCAGTACTATGTAGTCTAATGGTACCTGGGTTGGACTTTCATTTGGAAGATTATAAGTTCGAGTTTTAGTGGAGGTGTTATTGGTTCTTTGTGTTACACTAGGTTAAGAAAGTATATGAAATAATATATTTTGCGATTCAATTATTAAAAAAAGAAGATAATTTACTTTTTTTATTAAATATATTTTGTGACTCAAATTACTCTATAAAAACTTGAAATTGATCCAATTAAAAGACAAAGTATTTATAAAGATTATACCAATATATAATATGCCTAATTTATATAAAAAAAAATTATACAATAGGTTGAAAAGTATATGAAATAATATATTTTGCGATTCAATTATTAAAAAAAAAGAAGATAATTTTCTTTTTTTATTAAATATATTTTGTGACTCAAATTACTCTATAAAAACTTGAAATTGATCCAATTAAAAGACAAAGTATTTATAAAGATTATACCAATATATAATATGCCTAATTTATATATAAAAAAATTATTCGAACTATTTTATTTAATTAGTATGTTTTATATTTTGTTATGAATATTTTTTAACGCATTTTGAAGTATTTTGATTTCTCGCCTAATCAAACAGATTTTTAACGTACTCTACCCCTATTTGTAAGTTTTGTCATATAAATGTTATTGCTTGTAAATTTATTTGATTTTAAATTGTTTATTCATTTTTATATACTATATAATTATTTATTTATGAAGGCACTAATACAATTATTGATATTTTGCATTTAGGAAAGCACTTACAATCTTTTTTTAATGATTATTATTGTGTGTAAAATTCTTAAAAATTTGTTAATCTTATTTCAAGTTATTTGACATTAGTATTAAAATATAAATGTTGACTTTCAGGTAAAACCTACTATTTTTTGTCATTTCATGGACCTATAAAATGATTTTGACAAGCAGTAATGTTGTATAAGAGAAAAAAGATACATCTATCAAATGATTTCATTACTAGCTAACGCTTTTAAAGATGGTCATCATGAGCATTCTTGCGTGATGTCGAATGATTTAAATTTGACAAGCGTAGTGTTGTATAAGAGAAAAAAGATACATGCATCTATCAAATGATTTCATTACTAGCTAACACTTTTAAAGATGGTGATGAGCATTGTTGCGTGATGTCGAATCGGCAAAACGGACAGCTTCCCTGTTCCTGGAACCATGAAGCAATGCACTTATGATGAAAGGTGTGAGAGCATGGCAATGGCGTAATCTTCACTCCCGCCGAGAACTCTTCCAAACAAATCGAACACATCAATGATTCCTCCTCTCCATCAGTACCATTCTTGAACCTTTCTTGCTTCAACCCGTTAATCTCTTCACAAGTCAAACCCCTTGGTGGCTTTAACGACTCATCATCATCATCATCATCATAATCATCATCATCGTCGTCATCATCATCATAATCATCATCATCGTCACCCTCATCCTCATCCTCATCGTCATTCTCGTCATCATTGAAATTATTACCAAAACGTAAGACTATTCCATCATCATCATGTTCATCACGATCAGCCCACATTCCCATGCATTCTTCTACTTGGTCGTCGTCGTCTGTTGGTTGCAATTCTTGCACCTGAATCTCCACAAAAGCCGTGACTTTATTTGCAACTGCAACTTCTTGCGCATACTCGAAGATTCGTTGGGAAATCTGGGTGCATAAGGACTCAGACAATCCGGGAACCCACACACGAATTTGGTCTCTCAACTCACAATACGATGAAAACCCAGCTGGAGAATCGAAACAAACGTAGTCGTCGGAGTTTGTCTCGTAGAAATCAACAACCTGCCCGCCCTGCCGATTTCTCAAGAATATCCACCGTTTGAATTTCAAATAAACTTCTACACTCAGCAGCGTTGTTGGATCGGGCAGCCCAAAACACAACATCGACTCAAATGAAGATCTGATCGAGGGTCGGAGGAATACATGTGTCGCCATTGATATGATATGATGGAACCAAAGGAAACGCAGTCGATCGATGTATTTTGATAAGTAATGGAGACACAGATAGATGATACTCAGAACTACAAGCCTACTTCACTTAATTTATAGCGCCCTTATTTATATTTTGATTAGGATTAGGACGGTCTTCTTTTTTTTTTTTTTTTTTTTTTTTTTTTTTTTTTTTTTTTTTTTTTTTAGGAATAGGAAAGCTCGTTGAAATTTTAAAACGTTATGGATATTTAAATTAACAAACCTAATAAAGTTAGGAAGTAACAAAATATTGGTGTAATTGTTTTTTGAAATTAATGACTTATATTATTTTGATTTTAGTATTTTTTATTTTTTACTATACCCTTTATTGTATTATTTATTTTTCTTAAACGTCTATGTATTTCGACATTGTAAATTTTAGTAATGAAATATTCCGTTAATTATTTATTATTGTTAACTTACTCATTCATTTTCATAAGGTTGGTCTTAGCTAGGTTCGAATTTCATTCCAATCAAAATTGACATAATTATTAAACATATATATTATGAATATGTTAGAGTGTATTAAAAGATAAAATATAAAATATATAATATAAAATCCCTAAAACTAAAATGAAATCCCTATGGACTATAGATGTTTGGATTTTGGATTTTGCTTCGATTGAAAATATGAATTTATTATTATGGGTATTGAAGTAGTTGCATTTATTATTATAGATATTATTTTAATGATTTAAAAATTTAGTTAAAAAAATTCAATTTGCAGGTAATACACAGTTCAGTTCAATTAACGTTTAAATGTTTAAAAATTTCGGTTAAAATAGTTCGGTCATTGGAACGATTAATCGAATGCGCACTTCTAATTAATGAAGATACCATTGCACGATACTCAGGGCGATGACCTTTAAATATGTATAGATTATGCTCATCTAAACCAATTGGTCAGCTGATTTCTGCAAGTAGTCCAATTAAAATATTGACTTTGCCAAGATTCTCACTCATAGTGCATTCATGCTGAGCGAATTGCAAACAATCTACCTTATGTACATTCGTGTAATAG